TTCAAAAAATTCTCAGTGCATTCATGCGTTTTAAAAAATCCACTTCAGTTCTAATAGGTTACACAGTATCAAACATGTGCCCTAGTATCTCAAAGATACTAATTTCTAATTTAATCTTTGACCAAGAATAATTTTCTTTCTGTTTCTTCTGGTTCTAGACACCTAATTCACATTTTTCTCCCCCCCCCCTTTTTTTTTTAAATCAAGCAAATCCTATCTCCCAAATGTGTTACCTTCAGTTTTACCAGTGTTAGATGTATTACTTGAATTGAGATGAGGCTAGGGCTCTAGGATTTCAGAACAACTTTGTCGTACTTATTGAGAGAATACTTTTGTGGAATAGAATAGAATTGTGGAATACCCCAAGCACTCTTTTGCTCTTTATTATCCCAAAGTTTTATCCCAGCCATCCAGTGAGAAGAATATTGTGGTAGAGGAGGAGAAGAAAGCTATGGATTGCTCTCAAAGATATGGGAGTGCCACCATATCTGATAGTCCTGATGAGAAATCTGTACTTAGTATAAGAGGCTACTTTTAGAACAGAATATTAAAAAAACAGAATACTTCCCAGTTGGCAAAAGGATCAGGCAAGGCTGCATTCTATCACCCTACTTGTTCAGCTTGTTTGCAGAAAATATCACAAGAAGAGTAGGTTTAGTCTCAGAAGTAGGAGGATAGGAGGAAGGAACATCAACAATATAAGGTACACAGATGACACCGTACTACTAGCGGAAGATATCACAGACTTGGAAGATTACTAAAGGAGGTCAAAGAAGAAAGTGCAAAGGCAGGTTTTATACTGAACATAAAAAAAAAAAAAAAATGACCACAGAAGAAATACATAAATTCAACCTAAACAAATGACGAAATTGAAATAGTTAAAGAGTTCCCGCACCTTGGATCAAACATGGATCAAAATGGAGACTGCAGTCAAGAAATTAGAAATTAGACTAGGAATGGGAGGGGCATCTATGAAGGTACTGGAAAAGAGTGCTGAGGATACTGTGGTCAGCCAAAAGGACAAACAAATGGGTCCTTGAACAGATCTTCCTGGAAGCCAAGATGGTCAAACTGAGGCTCTCATAGTTTGGCCACATCATGAGAAGGCATGACTTACTAGAAAAGACAATAATATCAAGAAAGGTAGAGAGCAGTAGAAAAAGAGGAAGACCACATGCCAGATACACTCAATCAGGGAAGTCATGGACCTGAATTTAGAGGACCTAAGCAGAGCAGTGGAGGACAGGGGGTCTTGGAGGTGTCTCATCCACAGGTCAGGGTCGACTCGAGGGCAGTTAACAAGAAGGTGAATGGGAGAACAAGGCACATTGGGTTATCTAGGTCTCATTTCAACAAAAAAACCAAATTCTCAGTCTCCCTGTTTCATGTGACTTCTTATGATAGTTATTCCTCTATATTTCCACAGCTCTTGCCCAGCACATAGAGCATTCTGAATGGAGTTGAAAGGGAGGGCTGAGTTTTATGGGTGAACAGTCAATGAGCAGGCATTTTGTTTCCTATGAGATGGACAGCAGCAATTTGCTGGCAGCATTGTCCTGTCAACTTTGGTTTTATTTTATAGAAACCGGGGAGCAGTGCCCATTACTTTGGAATGTGATCTCATTGCACGACGGGAAAACATACTGTGTCGTGGCCATTTTTATCCCTATTTAAGAAACAAATCTAAGTGGGTTTGGAAGGTGTGTTGGTGTTGGTGATGGTGGTAGACACATAGCTCTGAGCTGACTGGATTTTTTTCCTCTTGGCTGTAGTGCCATTTTGTCCTTTATCCGCACAGCTGCCTCTGTGGCCTTTAAAAAAATCTCACCAGAGGCATTTGGCCTGCCTTTTCCTGGCAGCGTTAAGAATTGGGGGGGGGGGGGTTTGGCGTTATTCCAGCATCCTTGTTGTAGTGGATTTTAAAAGAATGGTCTGTTTGAAACTGGCTTGTGACCAGGAAAATCTCCAGTTCTACCCCTTCTCAGTCTCTCTCTCTCTCTTTCACTCTCTGACACACACACAAACACACACTTGCACATGAACAGGTTCACACGGCAGGATGATCTGCACAATATGGGGTCCAACCTAGAACCTGACGCCTCCTTTTCATGTCGGAGTGCTGCTCTGTTCCCAAGCGACAGGAACCTCATCTGTGAGAATGGGTTGCTAAGCAACTAGTTTCCTCCATGCTCCACAGCAACCATTCTGCCTCCATAGGCACAGCCTGGCCCCGTTAACCAATTAAAGCTTTTGGTAATCAATTTAAGTGGTGCTTTGACCCATTTTAATCACAGCATCAGGACACACAAATGCAAGGGGGATCCGTCACCGGTCTTCCCTTTAATGGTTAATTTCTGAAAACAGAGTGAGTGGGTCTCTGGCCTATCTTGTCAGTCATTTTGTTTTATCTGGAAGTCTTATTTGTGGTCCTAGCAAGACGTGGTTTCCCAGATACATAGGAAGGATACTCTGTACGTGCTTAGAAGCAGTCCCCTTTATTCTCACAAGTACTTGAGCCTTCTGTTTAAAGTCAGTTCCAATGATAGACAAAGGTGTTCAGATGAAGGTTGAAAACTGGAGAGGACTCTTGCACATTTAATGGTTGTGGAAGATCATTAAATGGACTCTTCCGTTTAATGGAGGAAGAAATTTCAGCAGGTGTTCCTATTTGCACAAGCAGGTGATGAAATTCCCTCTTCTCCTGGATTCATCTCCAGTTTTCACTCTGGTAACTCTAGCCCAGACTCGAATTAAGAGCAGGGATCTACCCTGCTTTTGGTTTCTCTCTTCCAAGATCACACTACATCCAAGACCACACTCACTATGATAAATTCATTTCAATCATTACCTTTCCTTGACTTCAAAAAAAAAAAAAATCGAGAGCATCTTGTACAGTTTCAGAACCTTAACAGCTGTGGCATAGATCAGAACCACACTAACCCAAAGGGTGACCTTGGGCATGTCACACTCTCTCAGCCTCAGATGCTGGCAATGGCAAACCACCTCTGAAGAAACTTGCCATGAAAACCCTGTGATAGGTTTGCCTTAGGGTTGCCATAAGTTGGAAACAACTTGGAGCCGTATCTCATTATTAAACAAGCCTGGTAGACAAATGAAAAGACCCGTGTTTTTTTTTTTTTTTCTCCCTCCACATGACGTCGTTCACTTTCATTCTCTTCCGTTTGTAAAACTGTGGGTCATAAAAGTGTCGTAAAAGTATCCCATTTGCCTAGCTGGAATAATCCATTTGGCAAAAATAACGCTTTCATAACACTCTGCCATGTTTTAACAACCTGAAGACAACAAAAGTTATAAGGAGGGAGAAAAAAAGCACGTGTCTTTTTGTTTGCCTGCTGAGTTTGTTTAATAATGTGATAAGGCTCTTGAAGGCACATAACAACAACAATCAAAGTGGTGGTCCATGGACCAATACTGTCATGTTTTGGCTGACTGTCATGTTTTGGAGACGTAAGCTTCAATAAAGCAGAAAACTTTATCCAAGAAATCAAAGGTGTACACACCATAGCGATATTGTCAGGACTGAGGCACATTCGGTTACTGAGTATATTAAAAGTACATAGCATTTCAAACATCTTTGTCCACTCGCCTCCCCCCTCTTTGTTTTCAAACCAAGACGTTTCTGTTCCCAGGACTGCTCCTCCTTTCCTCTCTGTACCAAGTGTTCCCATCAGATTGACCTTGACAGTTTAAAGCACATTTTTCCTTCCCTCACATCTGCTCATTAGCCAGCTTCAAGAAAGATAAGCGATCTTTACACCCAGCATCACCACATGTGTAGAATAACCCAGTATCCAGTAGTACAAAGCATATGCAAAATGTATAACCAACAAGCATGACAGAACCTATGATCCTGACAAGTATTGGACTAAAAACCACTGACTGTCAGTGTGCAGCAAGTTCCCGAGAAGAAGCCGTTGTAGCTAATGGCTTCAGTCCCTGACACATTAGGGGGAAAAATGCTAGTCCCCCACATCAGATAGCCTGAGAAACGCTGGATTAGAAGATCTGTCTGCAGGGGTGAGAGTGATAGTCCACATTTTATAGGAACAATAATCCTGGGGGTGAGATGGGTACCCTTATCCCTCTACACCATTTTTTAGACCAGTGATTCCCAAACTTTCTCCAGGTGTTTCAGACTGCAACTGCTAGAAGCCCCAGCCAATTTGGCCAACAGATAGGAATTCTGGGATCTGAAGTTCAAAACATCTGGGGGTCCAAAGTTTGAGAACCACTGTTTTAGACCCAAACCTGTGCTTCCCCATGCTATCAGTTCTGTTTGTGGTTGGGAGAAGATAGATACAATACTGAGCTAATAGATGTTAAATGGGGGAGATGAGATTTAGTTCAGGAAGACCAGTGTAAGGGAAAGGCTCTCTCTCTCTCTCTCTGTCTCTAGTAATAGCATTTATGTTTCTATACTGCTTAATAGAGAAATCAACACTCTCTAAGTGGTTCTGTAATCTGTAAGCCAATTGATCCAACAAGCTGGATATTCATTTTACTGACCTACGAAAAGATGGAAGGCTGAGTCAACCTGGAGCCCTCTGGGATCGAACTCAATACATTGTGGTTGCAGTATCAGCATTTAACCACTGTGCCACCAGGGCTCTGTCTCTTTCTCTGTCTGTTTCTCTGTCTCTGTCTGTCTGTCTCTCTCTCTCTCTCTCACACACATGTAATTTAGCACCATTGCCCAAATCATATTAGTGAGCCCTGACCACTGTCTTCAGTTAAAATTAAAACACATGGAGATCTAATATCATATCTCCCATTGTTTTAGCCCTCAGAAAGTGTGGCTAAATAGGACTTCCACGTAGCAAAAGGTTTTAGTCCCAGCTCTTTGTCAGTAGTTGACGTTTATTCAGAATACAAAACCTGGCTTGACTGGGATCATTTTGAGTACAGATGTATACAGCCTGGTTACATAGCAGTTGTTAAATTACTCCACCATTTGGCGATTCTTACTCCTCCTTTCAGACAGCCACCATGGTGTAGTGGTTTGTACATTGGACTATGACTCTGGAGACCAGGGTTCGAATCTCTGCTTAGCTACTCAGTGACTTTAGGCATGTCACACACTGAGCCTCAGCAGAAGGCAAAAGCATACACCCTCTGAACAAATATTGCCAAGAAAACCCCATGATAAGTTCACTTTTGGGTTGCCATAAATCGGAAATGATTTGAAGGCACATGACGACTCTTCCCTTCATTCTATACCTTTAGGTTCCTGATTGGCAGAGAGAAGCCAGGAGAGCAGAGCGAGGTGGCGCAGCTCATCCAGCAAACATTGGAACAGGAGCGATGGCAGCGGGAAATGATGGAACAGAGGTATACGCAATACACAGAGGAGGATGAAGAAGTAAGTGGAATACAAAGCTGGTTACCTTTGGGAAGGAGCAGAGTATAAATACAGCTTGAGTTTTCTCCCTGATTCTCTTTTTGGGTCCTTTTTTTGGCCAGCTGCCAGAGGATACAACATGGAGGATAGAACTGGGAGGAGGAAATTAGTGGCCAGGGTCCCTAGATTTCAATAAGATCCACATGCACACACAACCTTTTTTCACATTGCTGAATTAAGTTCTTAGTCCCATTTTAAGCTGTCCATTTTTGTTTTCCACTGCTGTCTCCTTTTTCATTTTCTTTGCATAGCTCCACATTTTGTCTTGAAGGCTGCTTGCATGTTCTTGGAAGAGTTCCTCATTCCCGATTCATCAAGCGAACTAACCACAACTTTTATGTGAGCTTAGCTGCCCACAGCCCCCTTTGTCTACATCATTCACATCATTTCTCTGGCTTTCTGATGCCTGTGACAAGCCTGGAAAAAGTATTTCAGATTCTTGTATGCCATTCTCAGATCCTTTGAGGGCAGGTTCAGTCAGCTTTCAACTTAGCCAAAAATTATTTTTATTATTTCTATTATATGTTTAAGGATGCATGTACACTGTAGAAATAATGAAGTTTGACACCACTTTAACTGCGGTGGCTTCATCCTACAGAATCCTGGGATTTCTAATTTTGTGAGGCAGACTTGTAAAACTATAAATCCCACGATTCCATAGGATGGATCTACAACACTTAAAGTGGTGTCATACTGCATTATTTCTGCAGTGCAGATGCACACTTAGTGTAGGACATCAGATTGTTTTAACTGATTTTAAATTCTATCAGTTGTTATCCAGTTAAAGAGTTCCTTTAGGCTTTGGTAGCATATTACTTCCCTCAGTAGCTGTAGGAGGAAATAAAGAGAGGACTAGTAGATCAGGTAAAAAATATTAATCCATGGAGTTCAGCATCCTTCTGCTGCAGTAGGCTAACAGATGTTTCTGGGATGCCCACAAGTGGGGGACGAAGGTAATAGTCTTCTTAGGAGTTTATCATGGGGAAAGTTGGGGGTTTAAACAGGCATTTTCCCAGGACAGTTACATGAATGTGGCGAAGATTTTCACACAACATCGCAATTAGAGAGGACTTATCCCGGGAAGAACCAGGAATGCTCCAGGAACAAATCATTCACGAGGTTACACTCACCATGTATGGATGTGAGAGCCGGACAGTGAAGAAAGCTGTTAAAAAGAAAATCAACTCATTTGAGTTGTGGTGCTGGAGGAGAGTGCTGAGGATATCATGGACATCCAAGAAGACTCTAGAACAGATCAAACCTGAACTCTCTCTGGAAGCCAGGATGACAGAATTGAGACTGTCATGAGAAGGCATGATTTATTAAAAAATACAGTGAAATTGGAATGGTAGAGGGATGTAGAAAGAGAGGAAGACCACATGCCAGGTGGTTAGACTTGAGCAGAGAGGCCACGGGCCTGAGCAGAATAGTTGAGGACAAGGGAACATTGGAGAGGTCTCATCCACAGAATCACCACAAGCCCACGACAACTCAAGGCCAATTAACAACAACAAACCATTGACTATTAACCTCAGCAATTAAGAACAGAACCTCCATATTTGGTGGTAGATTACCTGCTCAGGAGAAAAAAAAGGGAGTGGCTTTCTCCATCATGGCCTTCTTTTGAACTTCCAGATGCATTTGGCTGGCCAACTGTACAACTAATCTGACTGTTTATGGCAACTATTATTCCTTATATCAGGGTGCAGAATATTAGGAACACGAATAAATATAAGTGCTGGAGATAATAGAGGAATCACTGCTGATGCCTCTGTATGCCTGTTCTTGAAAGTTTAAGACATATACTGTATATACTCACGTATGTCCAGAATTTTCTGTCAAAAAATTGACCGACCCCCCCCCCATAACCTGGGTCAGCTTATCCACATGTCAGTCTAAGTACTTTACTTTAACTCTTATAAAAATATAAAAGGATGTTTCCAAATGAGTCCTGCTTCCATCTGTAGAATTACATTAGGAACACAGCTAGGGATCCCAGAAATCATTCTCAGAAATTTAGTTTGCACAGCCTCAGACGGAGCGATGATCAAAAAATGAACCCTTCTCTGAGTAGAGTGGTGAAGGCGAGAATGTAGTCCATCCCAGGAGAACCTAAAAGAAGAACTGATCCCCTCTACTCTCCACCACAGTGCTGCTTCTGGCCTTTTTGAATGCTTGAACAGGAAAATGGCAGCGGTGGCAGCGCTTTGATATTCCCCTCAAAGGAGCGCTGAAAGGAATCAGGCTTTGAAGGACTTGAACAAGACATTTGTGTGTGTTTGTCAGCTTTTCTGGGTTAAAATCAGGCAATGTTATCACAAGGTTTATAATCACTGCTAATGTAGTTGCCATTTTCTTTGCTTTGCCTGTTCATCCTTTTTTACATGTGTGCATTTTCTTAGTCCATCTGTGCCTGCTTGCTTCACCCAAACATCACACAGTCACCATTTCCTGTAGTTCCCTCCTCATCCATCCAGCCTTTACGGTGAGCACAAACAGTTATGACTCCCAGAATTTTGCCATCATTTGCTTTTGCTTCATCCTTTATATCCTTTGTAATATGCCCCTAAATTTTACCCTCAATTTATCCATGGGTCATATCAAAAAAGGGATGCAGTGGCTCAAGTGGTTAAGACACTGACTCTGTTGATTGCAAGATTGGCAGGTTGGCAGTTTGAGGCCCGGGTGCTGCATGATGGATTGAGCTCCTATTACTAGTCCCAGCTTCTGCCAACCTAACAGTTTGAAAGCATGCAAATGCAAGTAGATAAATAGGTATCACTTTGGTGGGAAGGTAAACAGCGTTCTGTGCAATCATGCTGGCCACATGATCACAGAGTAGTCTCTGACAACACTGGCTCTCCTGCTTAGTAGTGGAGATGAGCACCACCCCCTATGGTCAGACATGACAACTTTGTTAAGGGGGAATACTTTTACCTGTACCTTTACATATCAAAATACATAATTTTGGCCTCAAAACTTGCCTTCAACTTATACATGAGGTCAACTAATAGTCAAATATATGTTATTTTCTCTGTTTGGTTTCAATTCATTATCTGGATGCAGAAAGAGGGGAAGTACAAGCAAGCTGTACTTTCTATTTTCATAAATCTTCAGTAACATTTGAAAAGAGTTTTGAAGATGGATGTGTAACTATTTGGCCATTTATCCCACATGTTCCCTTTTAATATTTGCCAAGCCAGGCAAAACCATATAGTGTAACTCACTTGTACTATTCTCTCCCTATGTCTCCCACAATCAGAATCTGTTATCAGTACTATACAGTTTTTAGTATACATTAACATAAAAATGCCCAAATGGTGAATCTTTGTTTTGCAACTTGCAGACAGGTGAATATGCAACGGATGAAGATGAAGAGATGAGTCCCATGTTCCCCAGCAGTGAGATGGCTATTGAGGTCTTCGAGCTGGCTGAAAATGAAGATATGCTGTCTCCAGTGGAGATGGACCCTGAAAAGCTGGTGCATAAATTTAAGGAGGTAAATATAATCTGTAAGGAGAGGACAATCTCCTTAGCCTAATTTCAGATCAGTTAAGCTGTCTCATCAGGAGTGATCTATCCCTCCCACAGTAACCCACTGTGTAGGAAGGAGGCACAAGAAAGAGAAAGAGAAGAGATTGGCATTAAAAGAGACAGAGAAAAAAATGGGGTGGCATGAAAAAATGAAGGAGTCACCCCACCCATTGCTGGCTCCTTTGCATTTCAGCAACAGGCACAGACAGATCACCCCTGAGGAATGTAATCCTCTACAGAAATTAAAGTGCCTTGGTTCTATCCCAAAATACATACCCAGAGCTCTCTAACTGGTGGAAATGCCACTGAGGCCTCTTCCTGTTTCTAAGCATACAGCAGAAAATTGCCAGATGCATTTACATTAGTACTTACAATTGAGGAAATGAAAATCATATTCTTAATTATGAAACAAACAGACATGGAAGTGTTCCATTTGTTAAGTTGTGGAGGTGCACAATGAAGAAACACTTGAGGAAATGAGGTGTGCCTAGAGTGTACCTGCCCAGGTCTGTATCTAAGGGCCTTTAAAGACTACCAGAAATAATCTAGTTTAAGACCACTTTAACTGTCCTGACTCAGTGCTAGGGAATCATGGGAACTGTAGTTTATTGTAGCACCAGAGCTCTCTGACAGACAAGGCTCAGTGCCTCAGAAAAAAACTACAATTCCCATGATTTCCTAGAATTGAGCCAGGGCAGTTAAAGTGGTCTCAAGCTGGATTATTTCTGGCAGTCTGTAAAGGCCCTTATAACCCTAAAAAAGTTCGTGAGGCCTTATGCTTTCCCCCTCCCACATGTTTTAACCTCAGAAATCTTGCCATCAGTACCCAAGAGAACTATTTCTCATTTTCATACCCCCTTTTTGCCTCAGGATTCTTAGCAACAGGGCCTCAAAGATCGGTTTGTTATTAATACATGAATTGTACCTGGCACTGCCAGGTGTGTACCTGATACCCCAAAGGGTCCCCATGGAGCATTACAGTTTCCCATCCCTTCCACTTTTTAGACATCTGAGGGGTTTGTATCAAGATTGAGTAACAAGCATGGATTGTGTGGTGGAAGGCAAATTTGCATGTGGATTGTGGTTGATTGGGGGAAGGAGAGACAGAGTGCGGTTGTGA